AACCCCTCAATATACACCACCAACGGCTCCCGACTCAGCACGTAAACACCCTTGTATGTATGCGCCGCGCAACTCAGATTCCGCTCCGGAATCACCAAATTCTCTAGATTGGCTTTTACATCATCCCCACCTCTCGCACCAACGCTGTTGGACGATACCGCATCGCCACCCACATTCGAAGTAAGCAACGAGGACAAAGGCGCGCCCGCGAGTATATACGCTAGCGCAGCGAGGAATCCATACTGAAAAAACGACGTTATCGATAGCGAGGACGAATACGAGGCACCGGTCGACGACGATGCAGGCGCGGAAGAGGAACCAAGCATCGCAAAACCCACGCAACAAGAAATGACGACCTACGCGCAAGCCCCACGAAACAAAGAACAACGATAAGCAATAACCCAGATGCTCGACAGCGTAAATCACAAAAGAAGACACCGAAAGATTTGTAAAAGAGTAACGATGGGAAAGTCTACAAACTCACGAAAACCCACGCCCCTTCAAAAGGAAACAACCCAAGCGCAATTCCCCTACCGCCCGCCGCACAGCGCACTTCCGCCCAAATGATTTCATCTGCAATTACCGCTATCATTACCGCTATCAAGGGTCCCGACTTTCCTTTCCGCGGCGCGCACGCCTAGTCTCATCTCAGGTCTCACGTGTCATGTGTGCTTTATCGCGCGGAGTGGACTCTGCGCGTCAGATTATGCTCGGGACACACGACACAACCTACTTCTCCCTAGGCGCGCTAAGTGGTACGTGCATGACCTAGGTATTTTACCTGAGCAAAGTGGCACCGTGGGTATATTTTGTTCCGAGCAGTGCTTACCCCTGGCTTAGGTAACTTACGGCGGGTGGAATGTGGTTGGCGTGAGGGATCAGGGATTGGGGGGTTCGGGGGTAATTTGGGTTCTGCGTGTGGTGGTGGTGGCATGATTCATGGATGGGCTTGGCTTTGCGGCGGCGGCGATTTGGCATCCAGGGGGGCGGGACGGAGGGGTCTGTCTGTCGCTTTTCTTCTGGTAGGTGAGACTGGCATCTGGCATCCTGGTTAGAGGGAGAAATCTAGAATGGAGGGGCGGGCTAAGCTACCCCTCATGTCTATGTACTTTAGCACTTATTCCGTGGTTTCGCAAGAATGTTTTGTTGTTCAGTTGCTGCGACTAGGAACCAGGTCATCATATGCAAGGCTCTCCAGGTTACCAATGCATAATAATTATCGAAACAATGTCCTCGAATTGCACCTCTATAAACGCCACCCTAATGGTGCACAAAAAGGTATCAAAACAAAGAATACAAAAGGGGCAGAGCATGAAAACGAAGCTCAGATGAATGAGACTTTGTCGTAATGTCATCAATCTCTCTTGAAAATAAAAGACAGGCAGTTGGTATCCCAGAATCTACGCACACACACACACACAGGCACCCAAGGAAGAAGAAGACTCGCTCGCATGCTGGGACCAAAGTCGTCACCTCGTGGGGTTCGGCATCATGTCTGCCTATCTCAAATTATTCCAGAATACAAAGACTCTGGATGTCAAAAATATGCCGTGGCATATGGTTTGCGCAATAGTGGTATCCTGTGGTCTCTACTGGACGTGAAGAATCCTTCTGTTTGTTCGGTGTTGATCCGTAATATCTCTCTGCCCTCTTCCGTTATGCTGGCTTCGCTCAGTCGGACGGACTGCAGCAAATTTGGTGAGATCGGTGGCGAGATTACTGTTTTCCACTGTTTTCTCGTTCATGCTGCTCGGCAACTTCACGCGCATAGAACTCGACTAACATCGTTCCATACGCCTCCATCTCTTCTAAAGGTACAGCGAGGCGGAAGTCGTTTAATAGCAGAAATTGCAACTCCAGGTGGTTCAATTCAACCAAGGGTAGACCGCCGACCTTGAACCTGTTAGCACACGTTTTCATTATGTGTATCGGCCAACACAAACCTTTGCGTATCTCGAGTTTGTATAGAAGACGTCGGAGAAGAACTTGCTGGCGCATGTAACGCCGGCTATGACGAGACGATGTATGTTGAAGCTGTCAACAACGAAGAAGTGGGATAGATTCAACGCATCCGCGCCGAGATCTTGTTGCGGTGGGGAGGGTGGCTGAGGATTGTCCCCTGGCGTTTGCGATGGCTTGCCCAAGGAGCCTGACGGAGGAGGGGTCGCCGCCTGAGCGGAAGCTGATGCAGGTCGTGCGTTTTCTGCCGGGGCCGGAGTTGCTGACATTGTAGACTTTGAGTGCTCCACAGACTGCTCATTAGCCTTGCGAAGACCAGATATAGGGCCAGCATTTACCCTCTCTGTCATTCTGTCGAAGTAGACGAGTAAACTCAAGAAGACCTCGTACGTGGTCGGGCAGTATTTGTGAATTCTACTCAGATAGCTGAGGATTGAGATGCTGGGGACGTTCTTGCCGTGGAAGGCCAGGACGCTGGTGGTCTGTTGGCTCAACCCCGCTGTGCCGTCTGATGGGGGGATTTGGCGGTGTAGATGGTCATGCTGCCGATCGTTGGTTGTTGTGATCTTGGTTAGGAGTCCGGCAACCATTTCGATTATATCTGAGACAGGCATCTCGCTGATTTCATATTGAGGCCCAACCTCTGCGGGGTCTCGTCGCTGTCGCCGTGCGAGCGAGCGCGACTGAGAGAAGGGACTGGACTCATCGATGGCAAAACTCTGGATGTGTGACAGGCTCTTAACTTTGATGCGCGTAGGAGAAGCTTCCGGCGATCGTAGGGACTGTGCTGGGGAAGGCTGGGGAACGGTTCGCGTGTTTGCGACGGCGGGGTCTGTGCCCGAAGGCGTCGGCTGCTGCGAGCGGGGGCGGAAAGTCGGACTGGGTGGTGTCGGTACTGCTTGGTCAGCAGCGGGTGCGGTGGAGTTTGGCTCTGAGCTGTTGTGCTGCTGCGATCGCTGGCTTGGTGTTGAGCTCGACTGCGGGGCTCCCGAGTCCGCCATGGCAACATCAGCAGACGAAGCTACTGGCCGCGGCGCATTGGCGCTCGAAGACGGCGACGGGCGTACAGGCGTGTGATGGCCGGCAGGAGACTCTTGCGCCTGGTGCGTACTGCCGCCGCCAAACATGTTGGTGTGAAAGTGGTTCCCACCGAAGTCGCTCACCAGAAGCGAAGTCATTCCGCGCGAAGCCAGGCGGTGCAGGTGTCTGGGGTTCACGATATTCCTGAGCGGGAGGCAGGCGCGACACAAGGGCTGTGCTGGGTGCACCAAGGAGCGTGGTTCGCGGGCGCAGTGGATCGGTGAGAGGCGTCGGTCGTGTTGTTGAGCCTTATCGTAGAGAGCCCGAACTTGGACGCAGCTTAAAGGGGCGCAGATACCGCGTGCGAGCCTGCTCTACTCTGCCGTACCCAAAGCAAATTGGACGGCACGCGTCGTGTCAAGGTGAAGGGCAAGATGCGCGCCGAGTCGGGGCCCAGCGTGGTGAGTGATGAGGTGTTGTTGGAGAAAGGCGTGGGGACCGGACGTCACAGACCAACGACTGGCGAGATCAACGAGACCCTGGCCGCAATTCACCTGCACAGTCCCAGACGCATGTGACGACACTGTGCAGCCACCAAGAGTTGTTTCAGCACTCGTTGCATCCAACTAAATAATCACAAGATAATAATTCTGTCACCTCGGCACGTCGCGCCAAGTAAAATGCTGCACAGAACCAGAGGGAGAGGAGCCAAGAAAAGGCCGGTGACGAATGGGGCAATGCTGACAGTTGATTGGCCCGTGGCTGCGGTGCCATCCCACGCCCGTGGCCCAAGTTCCTGTGTAGATGGTGCTAGCTAACTTGCTTTCTTTTATTTCATACAGATCGTTCAGGTATCATGTCATGACGAGTCCTACTGCTTGCCTGGCCCCTCGTAGTTCTGGTCTGGCAGGTATAGATGCCTCTGCGCGCCCTTGCCTGTGAGCACCACCATGCGAATCACACCGCCCGAGCTGCCGTCCCACTTGATGGCTTCTGAGAGTGCGCCCTTGACGAACTTGATGCCTTCCTCCTCGCTCATGTTCTCCTTCCAGTTCGCGTCGCAGTATCCGTAGATGTACGTCGAACCCGAGCCACCAATCGCGTATGATTGCTTGTGCAGGGAGCCGCCGAGAGGGATCGAGTATACTTGGCCGCCGTGTCGGTGGTCCCATCCGGCAATGATGAGTCCAGCGCTGCATGTTCGTCAGTGACTGATGGTCGCGCGGCCATGGCTTACTCACGAGAGTTGGTCCTTATTGGAGTAGCACAGTTCTTGGAAGATGGCTGCCGCCGTCTGCGTCGTGGGTGGCTCGTCGTTGGTGGTACCGTACATGCCGAGGTGGTATTGAACAATGTCCGCGACGGCCTGTGTGTCTGCTGCGGATCCAGATCTGCAACACCAGATGGTGTCGTGGACTTGTGTGAGCTTGTCGGTGACTCGGTTCGCGATGTAGGCTCCAGTCGTTGTTCTGCTGTCGGCGGCTAATATGACACCGTCCTTGAAGTTGATGGCCATGCTGAGTACTGTTAGAGACTGAGAGGCGGCGGTTGAGGAAAGACAAACATGGATGTTCCGAGGCTACAATGGTTGTCAGTAATCTTGCAGCGCTCTGGAAAGTGTTGTATCTTACTTGACCTCTCCCTTCTTGAGGTGGTTCATGTCGACGTGAATGCCATCTGCGCGGTGTGAGCTTCCGTAGGTGACTTGTTTGTAGCGGCGAATGTACCTTCTCCCAACATGCCCGTTGACATCATCATTGCGAGGTGAGCTGGTTGGTGAGGCAGAAAGAAGTTCCGGGGCGACGATAGGTTGGAGCGGCGTATGGGGCGGGCGAGAGAAGCTGTGGGGTGGGTTGTTGCTATAGTGGTGGTGCAGGCAGCTCGACTCTACGCGGCTGATATTCCTTGGCATTACGCTACTGGTCTTAGTGGCCGGCTGCACCATGCGACACCCTCGTGGGCTCGCGTTCAGGCGGTTGCGCGCTGGAACCTCAACTGCCTTATCGCGACTGTCGCTCCGAATGGTCGAGTCTTCTATTCCTTCTCGCTCTCCCTCACCTAGGCAGCTGTTCCCACGAAGTCGCTCGGCCCCTGAACCCAGATCAATCCTACGCCCCACCGATCCCGAAGTGCGACCAGGGAGCATGGCTTCGGCTCTCGACACCTTCATCTCCTACCTGAAAGTGCCGATTCTAGCGTCCTCTGGTGTCGCCGCGCTGCTCAGCGGTCTCCTTTACTTCAAACAAAAGTACGTCATCCTTGCAATTACCATCTTGGGTTTGGCTAACTCTGGCAGTGAGATCATATACCCCCGAGCCTTCCCTCCTGACGCCCGCACCAACGTCCCCAGACCTTCCCAGTTCGCCATAACCGACTATGAGGAGCTGTTCATCCCCACACCCGATGGCGAATCTCTGAGCGCCTTCTTCATCCGAGCCAACAAGCAGCATGCGCGCAACGTAACGGTCCTCATGTTCCACGGCAACGCTGGCAACATTGGCTACCGACTCCCCATCGCAAAGATACTCGAGAACGAACTTCGGTGTAATGTGTTGATGCTGCAATACCGCGGCTACGGTCTATCCTCTGGCAATCCCAACGAAAAGGGGCTCATGATCGATGCGCAGACTGGCTTGGATTACATCCGGCAGAGACACGAACTTCGGGACACCAAGATTGTCGTCTACGGCCAAAGTATTGGCGGTGCAGTTGCCGTCGGATTGGCTGCTCGTAACCAGAGAGAAGGTGACATCTCCGGCATCATCCTGGAGAACACCTTTACTTCGATCAAGAAACTCATACCGACGTAGGTACCTCCAATCGGCTGTACATACCATCACTAACATGGAGTAGTGCCTTCCCTCCCGCCCGCTTCCTGACTCCGCTCTGCCACCAGATTTGGCCGACTGAAGAGACACTTCCCAAGATTTCCAAGATACCTATCCTGTTTCTCAGCGGTCTCAAGGATGAAATCATCCCGTAAGCCGCGCATTCCCACAAAAATGGTATTCCGGTGGGGTTTTGTTTGCTAACTGTTCGACAGACCTTCGCACATGACCAAGTTGTTCGACGTCTGCAAAGCGCCTAAAGTCTGGAAGGAGCTACCCAACGGAAGCCACAACGACACCGTCGCAGAGCCGCGATACTTTCAATACATCGAAGAGTTCCTCAGCGAATTTGTAGCCCGTTGAAGCTTTCGCTGGATACCCATTAGTTATTGGAGGGTTGACAAATATGCTGAACCAGCCCCACGCTACTGCTTCACTTGAATAGCGCGAACCACAGGCTATGCGCAGACAGGGGAATGGCCAAGTGCAAGCGTTCGATATGTCACTGGGAGTTTGCTATTGGAGGGACATCCGATTGGGTTCCGCGGTTATACCCTCATTGGCTTTTGTTCCGAGTCGTGCATTAGAGGTGTGCGGTTTATGTCGACTGCGCGGGCAGCACACCTACGCGCTGTGAGCATGAACATGAGCATCTCGGGGCAGCCGATGTGTACTTTGCATCTTCCAGCGTTCTGAAACGTAGGTGCATGTGCGCATATCCCCTGAAGCTGACCTTTTTGCGCCGACACTGGTTACGAAAATGTACTTTGGGTGGCAAAATGGCACCACATAGTTTCGAGATTGCGTCGCCGTGCAGGCCGCGCGAATATAGAGATCGCGATCGTATGCATGACCCTGCAGTAACGTGTGCATCTCCGTAAGCTAGTTGTGATTTGTGTTTACAAGCCGTGTCAGCTGTTGTTAGACTATTCATGACGGAGCAATTGATTTTTGCGTCGCAAGGGTCTACGTTTACCGACCACGTGCAAAGACCCGAGATGTGGGGTGAGGACGGATCGCCAGGGGCGAGGTACATGTGCCCTAGGCAGTTTATCGGTACAAGATTTCTTGACACAGGAGACACATTATCGAAAGATCATCCTTCACAGCCTCAGTCGCTTCGTTGCTGCATGCTGCGCGATGCAACGCGTAACGAGTGGCCACGGGGACGACGTTATTCGGACCTACCGCCTGTATCCGACGTGTACTCGCGACAGAGCTGCTATGCACCACGCACTTGGGCCCCGCAAGGTTCCAGCCGGGTTCTTGAATACGAAGAGGCTCCATGTGCGGTAGTGCCAACGTCCGCGCTCGCGACCGGCCGCTGATTCGATGTTGATGGATCTGTGCTGGACCCTGCAACGGATGCTACCAGCGCCACTGCGGTAATGTGGGCAGTATCGCGAAGGCTTAACATTCCCCATGCTGCTTGCGACCGGGAATGCATGCATCGGCTGCACGGAACATGGCAATCTTAGCATGGCAATCTTGCATTAGGTCGAAGTTCTGTCCCATCTCAGCTCTCGTAGCTACCAGCTGAGCAAGCTAACAACTCCCCAAGTGAACAGACGTCAGTCGAGATGAATCGAATAAGCTCATGATCTGCGGATCTATTCTTGTAGCGACACCGTCATTGTTGCACCCCGGCGGACGGGACAGACGTTTGATTCATTGCTCGCCCGGGTGTCGATCATGACCAGGCGGGAACAAGTGTGGTGGCTGTGCTGTGGCGGGAGATCACTAGTAGGGCTGTCATGGAGCGGTCACTCCGACTGTGGCGAACCGGCCTCACTCGCAGGCCAGAACCACTTTGCATGTTTGAGCAAACGGTTTTCGGGCCATTCATTTCAGCCGTCTGCCGAGCAGCGTGCCGAACCAAACCAAGTGCAGACTTGTCAAGCTTTGGCTGCGCCGGCGTGTTCGCGTTCATGGAAGCGGTCGCTGTCATGTCGAGGCCCACTGTCGCGCTGTGGCGCTAGGCCTGTATAGGTCCCACAGCCATCGCTGCCCGCTCCATCTTTCTTCCATCCTCGTTTCGACGCACTCCCGCCGCAGGGTCACCAGGGGAGTACCACCGCCGAGCCAGCCTGCCACGAAGGCACTCAACAACGCCGCGAGATGCTTTTACCGGGTCCCCTGTCAGCTCCCTGGGCTGGCTCCATGCCTGGTCATTATCGTGACGCCCTAATCACGTCCACGCGGCATCCATGGCTTCACCCTGCTTCCTAGAGCGCCGGAGTCTTCTGGGCGGCTCAGTTCGTGCATGTCGCTCCTGCTCCACTATCCATACAGCCTCCTCGATTGGTCCGCCAACGCGCATGCATGTTGGGCCCGTTCCTATGGACGGCGTCGAATTACTTCATGATTCTGATCTAGGCGATGCTGTCACTATACAAGCCGGTGCTAGCAGACACCCTGGTACCATGGTCTCCCAGCACTTCCGTAGTCCAATACTTTCTTCTACTGCAGGTTTTCACTCGACAAATTGACGCCAGCACCAGCTTGCGTTTCGGTATACAGAACAAACACTAAATTTCCGCCTACCGGAGATTGCTAGGAAGGGCCCGCTAAGCTTTCGTAAGATAGTCTAGGATCAGCGCCATCGGCCCATGGCATTCTAGAAACGGTATCACTCGCCACGTCCGATGATATACCACGTCCGCAACACTTGTTTTCTACATCCCCTTGACTCAGGCACCCAATCCTCTCCTTGCTGGGCTTTTGGTGATCATTTCGCCTCCAAAGCATCGGTTCAGACCCTGTCACTCCACATCGAATCCTGTCAGCCACGGGCAGCCTACCGACAGCCAATCAGGCTGCTGCTAGTTGCTGCGGCCAGCGGCGAGTGAAGCAGAAAGCTCGCGAGAACCCTTTGGCGGCCTTCCCGTTTCTACTAAGCTAGTCAATGAGCCCATCTCTGCGACCCTAGCTCCTACTATCTGCCGCACGTACGCTTGCCCATTGCGGACCCTGCCGTTGCGCCGTCCCCAACCTCATAAGGCTTTGAGAGCTCGCTTCTGCCGTCTGAGTGGTCGTGTAATTCTGACCATCATCTTCGTTCCGCCTTAAGCGAGCTCCTTCTCCAGGTAGTACATCAACCGAAGCCGTTCATCTTCCCTCAAACGGTTTCTCCTACTGCCGGCATCTTTTTTTACACGCGATCACCTCATAGCCTCCCTTACCCATTGGCAAACCTTGATCGTCGTCTCTCCTGCGAAGCGACTTACTTTCGGGTATCGTCTATTCCGGCTTGCCACATCCCTTCAAGGATACGTTGATATAGAATTAGGTACGTTGTATTCTCCTATGTTCGGACAATTTGGTTGAGTCGGGCCTTTACACATTCGTTTTTCTAGCACTCGTTGTATTAGTTGTAACATGGACTAACATGTCTTTCGTTTGGGTCCAACAGTGGGTGCCACTTCCTGTCGTTTACGAGCCACACATGGGCGATCTACCTCCCGGTCCACGGTCTCATACCATGGACAACACGACAGCCAGCCTCGCGCGTGACGGAAACAATTCGAATTCGTTTCCCACGTCTCTCAAATCTCCCGACAGCAACGATCCGTTCTACTCTCAACTTAGCAGTCTACCCCAAGGTCAATTGCGACCCGACCATCGCTCATCAACGCACGCGAACGGAGCCTATCAGTCCCAAGAACACGGCACTTCACCACTTAATATGGGCTCAATGACAGGTGCATTGCCCAACTACGGCGCAAACGACAATACTCCGATGAACCCGCAAGTTCCACGCTCCTTGTCGGGCGCATCCACCTCAGCTGTGGCATACCAGCTTGGGCAGAGCCTGCAAATGCCCGGCAACATGTCCGCTCATGCTTCCTATGGACCTGGATTCGCTACAGGTCTCCCCCAACAACACTTTATGTCTCAACAAGGTTCACAGTACGGCGCCTATCCTTCTTACCCGACAAACCAGCCTCGTCTAGCAGGTGTGGCGCCGATGCAGTCGCCCTACCAAAACTATCAGCAGGCTTCGCAATACATGTACTATCCGGCACCATACGGACAACAAGGGCAATTCAATCCTGGGTTTGGTGCTCAGGGCCAAATGTACGAAAGGAAAGCCAACTCGACGAACACGGGTATGCAAGGCCATGTTGCGGATTATTCGCATGTTGATGGTGGCTTCCCTGGTGTTCGAATGGCCACTGGAAACTACATGGGCGACTCAAGCTCAATCATGTCTCCATACGGCGTACAGTTTGCGCAGTCTTCCGGTAAGCAAAGTCCGCGACCTGCCATTGCGCAGGTCTGACATCGCATGACGGTGCATACAGCTACTGATGACCTTCCAGGCATGCCTCGCCCCGGGCCAGTGAGCTCCATACCCCGTGGACCGCCTCGCAAACCCAAACAATCTGGACACGCACTTTGGGTTGGTAACCTCCCACCTGGGACTACGATAGTCGCTTTGAAGGACCACTTCTCCCGCGATGCTACCAAGGACATTGAAAGTCTGTTCTTGATTTCTAAGAGCAATTGTGCATTCGTCAACTACCGCACAGAAGCATCTTGCACAGCCGCAATGCACAGGTTTCACGACTCACGCTTCAGCGGCGTACGTTTAGTTTGCCGCCTTCGACGCAGCTCTGCTCCGGCATCAGGCGTACCCACGGCGCCTTCGGCCATGATAGGCCAGCAGAAGAATGCTTCTCGAGCAACGACTCCGACACAGGACAATGTCACCGATGCTCCCACCGAAGACGCAGCTGACTCGCCATCGCACAAAAGTGTTGAAGATCTTAAATCATCTGTGGACAGTGCCACAAAATACTTCATCGTGAAGAGCCTCACGCTACAAGACCTAGAGCTCAGTGTACGGAACGGTATTTGGGCCACACAGTCTCATAACGAAGATGTCCTGAACAAGGCTTTCCAGGTAAGCGCATAATACTCTCCACATTCAAGACCGTTGACTGACAGAACTAGTCTGCTGAAAATGTCTACCTCATCTTCTCCGCGAACAAGTCGGGCGAGTACTTCGGCTACGCACGCATGGCGTCACAAATTCTTGAAGATGGGTCTCCCACCATAGGCTCGGCACCCAAGCCCGAGGCCATCGTAGACGCGACGGATGTGCCAAAGGCGATCGCTACTCCGGCAACGGAATGGGCGCCGCGAGGAAGGATCATCGACGACTCTGCGCGCGGCACAATCTTCTGGGAGGCAGAGCTACCCGAAACAGACGGCGAAGAAGAAGCACAGAACAATGACGAAAAGACCGAGAGAGACGATGCGCCCCAACAAACTGAAGCCGACACCTCAGCCGTTCCGCAGAGCTGGGGCAAGCCGTTCAAAATCGAGTGGGTCTCGACGAACCGCCTACCATTTTACCGGACCCGTGGCCTCCGCAACCCATGGAATGCGAATCGCGAAGTCAAGATTGCGAGAGATGGCACAGAACTCGAACCCAGTGTTGGAGAGCGCCTGGTCCAGATGTTCCATCGAATGGGCCCGTCGGCTGCCGGTGCACCGGTAATGCCGCCCGGTGTATCCACCGGCATGATGCCCCAGATGCGAACATTCTAGGCACTTGTCAGGCCTCAGTTGGCCTCGTTGCATTGCACTTGATGTACCAGACGCTTGTTTACCGTTGAACTCGGTTAAAATGATTTGGAGCTTGAGCCGTAACGATGCGCCTCTTTGTTGCAATTGGAAGAATCTTGTCGGGCGCTCCACTGCCGGGCAGTGGGCGCTAGACTGAGCTCTTCTGCATTCATTCACTTCTGCCATCTTTTATCACCAAGGAAAGAAAACTTGACGATGACATGATCTTCTAATAGTCAAGATGAGATCAAGAGAAACGTAGGAAACGAAGCTAGAGATTGGATTCGTGTGGGTAATCGAGTATGCTCTCCTTCCCACATCGTTCTCTTGTCACCGTAGTTTCATTGGAGTTGTCCATTTCTGTATTCTTATTACTCTCATTCGTTAATGTAACATACTCTCCTGCATTATCCCGCTCGGACTTGTCATGTGTTTTGCGCGCAAACCCCGGTTGCACTTCAACCGCAGCCCCTGCTCATGGTCTTTTCAACTTGTCGATATTTCCATACATGCAGAACTTGACTTTATCTCGATCGGCCCTTTCAGGGCTGGCAGGGTCGCAGGGAGGGTTCTCGACCTCTTCGTTCTTGTTCTGGCCCTTACTTGCGTCTAGTGCCTCCGGGTAGGGATACCCACCCTCGCGGGTTACCTGGCCGCGACCTATGAAAAGGCTCCTGGGCAGACACACCGTGGAGGAGCATCATGATCAGCCCACTGGTCTGTCGGCAAAAAACACCCTGGCCACAACGAATGCTCAGGTAGGAAAGTCGCCATCTCGACTACAAGGTTCAATGTCCGTACAAATCGACCGACGCTAGATATCTGCAACATGCCTCCCAGAATCGTCATGATGCAACGTAAACTTTACGCTACCTCCACGTGTCCTTGCACATGCTCAAGTGAGCAGCAACACTCGCTCCCTCGGTAGTCCCATCGCACTTTGCAGAGCACCCAGGTACGTAGAACAAGGATCTTACCCAAAGCCAAGCCCAGCAACCCGTGCATCTCCGGACGAAACTCTGAAAAGCCTCATCCCCATCCATCGCTTCCGAGCTTGCCATAGTAGCCCCAACGCTTTCCGCACACCCACACCCACACAGATGTACCAAATGCTGGCAACGCCGTTATACCCGAGAGCAACAGCCAGCTAAACAAGCGGAAACGCAGAATGCAGAATGCAGAAGGACAGTGCGAAAAGGCACAAACTTTCCCACCACCCCCAATAGCCACATATGCATATCCATCCCTATAACCAATCCAAGCAAAAAAAAACCCCCACAACCTAGGCCCTATCGCGAGATTCTAGAACCCAGCCTGTTTCGCACACCACACACACACAAGCCTCAAAGTTACAACAGCAAGCATCGCGAATCTAGATCAGCGCATCCTCGATGCCGCGTTATCCGCTACTATGCCATTTCACACTTTTGCCCATGAGCGTCTGTGCGTTACTTTATCGCTGCCAAAAACGCCGGTGTGCCGGTTCCCTCTCGAATCCATGGATCTCACGTCTCTTAACTCTCTTTCGACTTTTTTAAGTGGGGAGGAAAGAGGGAGAGAAGAGAGGGTCCGCGGAAGGATGAGCTCGGGCCAAGCGCTAGTACCCGTGGTGGCAGGCTGATGAGTAATGGCGGTTATGCTGGATCGCGATTGCTCTTTGGTGCTGTTGGGGTGGGATTTCAAATGTTGATACGCTCCGGCGTTTTGGTGGGTTGATTTCTTTTTGATCTCTTCGGTGTTTCCGACTTCGGCGGTGTGGAGGATGTGTGCATGTTTTGGTACCTAGGTACTTCTTGATGGTAGTGGTGATGGCTACATGTACCTGATGAGGGAGGTGGGAAAGAAGAAAGGGGGAACAGGGGGTTCGTGATGTTGCTTCTTTTGTTGGAGTTACTTGCTTTCTCGGTCTGTTTGTACCGAGTGTGCGTTTTAGTGGGACGCACGTGGGCGTCTTTTTGCCTTGAGGCTTCATCGAAATTGTATCTTGGGTTAATCGTGCAGAGCCTTGTCGTCGGGTTTCGACACTCAGCTTTCCTCGTTTGCCGGTTTGTTCTCGCTCGCGGTTGATGTACCCGGTTTGCACGACTCGCTCACGGCATTTCCCGCTCTGGGTAGTCTTTATGGTGGTATGGCCTTTTGCATCTTGAAATATCTTTCATTCTGTTTAGTTACCAATGTGTTCCCTAGTAGGAGCGCTTATAATTATCTTTTCTGGTTATTACGCCAGAGCCATGCTATGAATACCATCACGTGACCTCAGTTAGCTCGCGCAGTACCTAAATATGGAAGACACTTTATTATGGTTCCGACGGTCTATATGCGGTCAAACCACTGGACTGCAAGATCAGAAGGGATGCGCGAAGTAGCGTTTGTCCTCATTTGAGACATGAAGGCAAGCTGTTCGCCGCCAAAGACACAGAGCCGCGACGCCCTGTGGAGGGTCAAGAGTATACAAGAGACAGGTACAAGGAAAGAGTCGTATGCATACAAGTACCCAGATCATTGGAAACACTGGCGTGTTATCGCAGGAAGAAGACAGTTGCATCAATTGCCAGCTGAACATGTATTGATGCGTTGAACATGTTAGGTACGTCACATGCCCAAAGTACAGGCTTTGTGGCACCGGCATGGTCGATATACCCGCATTCCTCGAAACAGCAGAGCAATAAGAACGAACGAAAGCCTCTCTATAACTTCAACTCCCTCACGCCCTCAACATCCACCGTCACAACGCCCTCAATCTCCCCGGCGCTGTGTCCAAACAAAAACTCATACTGCCCCCGATCCACCGCCCACTTCCCCCTCCCCTCATCAAAGTAAGCAAAGTCCTTATTCTTGACCTCCAACCGCACAGTCTCCTGCGCACCAGCATCAAGAGCCACTTTCTGAAAAGCGACAAGAGTCTTCACGGGATGCTCTGCGGCCATCTCCTTCCTACCCACATACAACTGCACCACCGTAGCCCCAGCAACACTTCCCGTGTTATTGACCACGACGCTCGTAGAAAAGCGTCCAGGCGACGACTGCTCCACGCTCGCCTCGGTAAAAAAGAACGTCGTGTACGACAACCCGAAACCAAAGGGGAAATGAATCTTATCCGCAGGAATACGATCGTAGTGTCTGTAGCCCACAAAAACACCTTCTTCATACTTGACAGTAAGCTGCCCCGATTCGTCGCGCGTACCAGGGAAATGGCCATGCGCAGGCGCGTCTTCGATGCGTTTAGGCCATGAAATGGGTAAATGGCCAGAAGGGTTCACGGCACCAGATATGATATCAGCGATGGCGTTTCCGGCTGCTTGACCCGGGAACCAGGCTTGGATGAGTGCGGAGACGTTGTCGAGCCAGGGCAGGGCGACGGCTACACCGGTCGAGTTTACGACGATGGTTTGCGAGTTCACGGATGCGACTGTTTCGACGAGCTTATCTTGGGAGCCTTCGCGGGGCAGGTGGAAGCTGACTTGGTCTTGGCCTTCGGTTTCCCAGACGGGCGTGTGGCCTGTGAAGACGATGGCTATGTCGCATTCTTCTGCGAGGGCTTTGGCTTCGGCGGCCATGTCGAGATCGTGCTCGGAGGCGTACATGAAGCCTAGTCTAAATCCGGGGAGACCGGCGAGAATGTCTCCTTTTGAGTCGCCGGCGGGCGGCTTGGAGTGGACCTGGATTTCGCAGGGCTTGCCTGCGGTGAATGGGACGCGGAACTCTTTTTCGGGGTTGCCGCCGAAGAGGAAGCCCATGGCATCTGGTGAGTTGTGCTTTTGCTCGTAGACGAGCTCGCCGTTTACGTGGACGACTGTAGGGCCGATGCCTGAGCAGCCGAGATAGTGAGATCCAGATTCGCCGGGAGTGAACACGGTGGTAAACCTGACTTCGCTGTCCTTGGCACTCTGTTCGAGCAGTGGAGAAAATGCCGCTTCTTTATAGCCGTGCTTTGTCTTGATCGGTTTACTGGTGTTGCCCTGATTAAAGAGCTCCATTTTCCAACCGTCATTCCCCTCAAGATCTTTGCAGCCTTTCGATAGGGGAGGGATGAGTCGATACGTGGCGGCTCCCTTGGCGAACTTGAACTCCACGTCGTTTCCGTAGGCGGCTTTGAGGCCTTCTTCGGGCGTAATGCGGTAGTGGGCGTTCAACGAAGCACTTCCGCCACCATGAATAAGAGCCTCTTTAGCCAGTCCAAACAGCCCGATCGTCTTGCCCTTGACCTCATCCTTCCTGAGTGGCAGAACGCCGTCATTCTTTAGTAGAGTAATGCCCTGTCCAGCAACATCCCGGATGAGTTTGCTATGCTTCGGGTCGACGATAGACTGCTCAGGCGGAATCTCCGGGTTCTCGAACGCGCCAACCTTCTCGATAAGATTCAGGACGTTTCTCGCTCGCTCAGTGATGGTGACTTCGGTGACCTGGCCCTTCTTGACAGCCTCAAGGACAGCATCGGTACTGCGCCACCTCGTCGGGCCCGGCATTTCTAGATCCAATCCAGCGTTCAGAGAGTCGGCCGTGGAATTGGTACCACCCCAGTCGCTCATGACAAGTCCTTCCCACCCCCATTCACCACGCAAGACCTGCTTGAGTAGGAACTCGTTTGAATCTGCATGTGTTCCGTTGACCTTATTGTAAGATGTCATAACAGCAAGGGGATTCGCTTCCTTGATGGTGATTTCGAAAGGCTTCATGTAGATTTCTCTCAACGCACGCTCAGACACAATCTCGTTGACCTTCAGGCGATCAGTCTCCTGCTCGTTGGCTACAAAGTGCTTGATGGTCGCTGCGATGCCGTTCTCTTGTAGCCCGCTGACGACATTGGCGGCCATCTTGCCAGCAAGATACGGGTCTTCAGAGAAGGATTCAAAATTGCGGCCACCGAGGGGATGTCTATGGTTGCACATCGTGGGCGCAAGACTGAAGTTTCGTCAGCAAGTATTACGCGTGTCATATATCAGCACACATACAGCACTCGCGCACTCTTCGTCTTGGTCTCTTCAGCCAACGCATGGCCTATGTGCTTTGCATTTTCGGGGTTCCACGTCGCGGCTGAACATACTGCAGCAGGGAAACATGCAGCTCGTGTTCCTCCTGTGAACACTTCGCCACGTGCACCGTTCGGTCCATCGCTAGTCTACTGTACGTCAGTCACTGTAAAGTAAGTCCAAAGTTGCAGAGCAAAGTCCTACCTTGATAGCGGGAACGCCCTTATCAGGTACAGGCACGGTTTCCCAAAAGTCCTTCCCAGCAAGAAGCGATATCTTCTCTTCCAGCGTCAGAGACTGCAGGACAGTCTCAACTTTCGAACCCATCTTCTCAGTAGTGTCGTAGAGGAGCAATCACCCAAGAAAACTTAACAATGGTGTAAAACGAACCACGCGCTACCGTCTATTCGCCCGTAGTGACAGATATACTCAACAAAAAGCACCTTGCAACAAAAAGGGTATCACAGCTCTACACATCCCCCCTCCACCGCGCACGACCCTCGATATAAGTACTCCAACGCCGCTCCTCCGCGCTCGCCTCCAATCCCACACGGGAATCCTGACCGTGTCTCCGGGAAAGCACACCATTGTCGACCGCATCGGTGCATCTCGAGACGCTTCGTTGTGGAGAATTGGGGGAACACATTCGCGCATCATTGGCGCGTCTCGAGATCTACCGTAGTGGCACTCGTAAGCGTGCCGAGGTTTTGCCATGGCGGACGGCCTGATCGTGCTCTGATTCGTACCTTTCCCGTTGGCGAGCCGTCGGCAGCGCTTTCGCCGAGGTTTAGCCGCGAGGGTTGGCTCGGAGTTTATCCACAAGACGTCAGATGATACGTGGGATGTCGTTTAGATACGAACAGGCCTGTGTTGTACGAGTGATGAGTAAACGTCTGAGGTCGGTGAACACGCTGGACGTTTGATGGCAGACTGCTGATGGTGTTGCTGGTTGCTCGTTGCGCTGCTTGCTGAGTCAGATCTCGATGCGGCAAACTTCCGAGGCTCAAACGGCAGTCGCAAGGGGACCCACGTTGGCTTGGCTGGCGCCGCTGTGGTGCCAGGTGAAGCTTTTTGAGAAAACTATACGTCATGTTGTGTTTCTGATGGCATTGCATTTCTCTACAGCCTCAAAACTTCTCTGCAAGACGACCGTCTGATATCCCACATATTTCAGCATTTCCAGGTGTTAATTTCTTGTACATTTAACCGCTTTTGAGGCGCACGACATGGCTGTTTCGTCGAAGAAATCTGGGGAAGTCGAGCCCACGGCGAGCCGGCGGCATCCGCTTCAGCGATTTGACTCTCCATCCAAGGGATTTTCGGGCGCGTTGCATGTAAGTAACAGAGAACGTTGGAAAGCGTTAGGCAAGGCCAAATGTTGACGAGTATGTGTATTACAGGTTGCTGGTCTGATCAGCTTCTACAGTTCCTTCAAGTTGTATGTCTTCATCTCGCCAACTTTGCACCTAGCTAACACGAGTCCAGCTTAATTGATAACCCAAATGTGTTTGTATGTATACATCCATTGCATGTTTTACAGCGTCTTTGGAGATGTTGTCATTGCGTGCCGCTGTTAGTCTAACACATGCAGAACTCCTCCTTCGGCTGGCACCTCCAATTCCTCACCATAATCGGCCTCTCCCTCTCCACCCTAACCTTCCTCTTCGGCCTCATCGCAGATCTAACCTCCACCGCCCTCTCCGCCTCTTCCACGCTCCCCTCAAGCCCGCCAGCCGTCGCCCTCTCAGACCACCTGTTCCGGCTAAAGAACTACCTCGCGCTCGTAGCAGCACCGATCGAAGCCACCATCAGCATTCTGTACTGGACGTTGAAGGCTATTGATGGGAAGCTTTTGGTGCAACCGTATGTTGTCTTTCTTCTTACTCTCGATTTTTCCTACTCTCGGTTATGGGGGTGTTCCCGTGACGTTTGTTTTTGCTGACGGGAGAATGATAGGGATATCCCGCTACCACCCGCAATCTACGATATAGGATTCCATCTCGTCCCTGCTGTAGTCCTGGCCCTGGATTACATCCTGCTTTCTCCACCATGGCCCACCACGCCGATGAATGAGTCTGCGCCTATGATCACACTCGCTCTCTCCACCATCACTGCGTTTACATATTGGATCTGGATCGTAAGATTATCCCATTCTCCAAAACGCTCAAGTACGCACTCAGCTAACCACACACACCATCTTCTAGGAAATCTGCTTTTTGCAGAATGGCTTCTACCCTTATCCCATCTTTGCGATGCTCACGACGAATCAGCGAATCGGGTTGTTTGTTGTGAGTGGGGTGATTATGTGGGTGGTAGGTGGGTTGTTGAGGGTGCTGTATGCGAGGATTAATGGCTATGAGAGTGTGGAGCATCTGGAGAAGGTACGACGGAATAAGGTCATGGGCGGTAGTGGAAAGTGGGAGTAAGAAGGGGAAGGTACGGAGATTGGTATACGACTAGATGATGTTATGATGCGTGGAAGCTATGGAAGCGTGAAATGGAGGTGGATGGTGTAGACAGGAACATTGCAGGTGGGTATTAGAGCGGCGGTGGAAGTCATGGATCAGATCTAGAGGTTATGAGTCTACGTGATTGGAAGACAACAAACTCTCTATATTAAACAGGTAAAAGAGAAAACAGTGATACTTTACATGCCCACCAGCTTCTTAGCGGCACTCCCATGCTTGCGAGCAAATTGCACAGTAGGGTGAGGCATAGAAATAAGAAGAACATGCCTGAGTATCTGTCCAGCGATCCCCATAGCGCGCCTCTTTGAAGATATCGTATTAAATCATGTCGCATGTCGCTACTCGTCGCAGCGTATATCATATGTCACCGTGTAAAAGATATGAATCAGGAAGAAACGCGGGAAAGTAAGTCGCATGCATAAGTCGGTAGATGGAACGAGCGTGAACAGTCGGGCATCTGCTACAGGACGGTGAAGCCGAGCGTAGGTGTCGCGTTGGGAACGCAATGAGAGCACAATGTCCAAGCGCTTAGCTTGTAGACGGTGAAGGCGGAGCTGTGATGGTACGTTGGTCATCGTCATCTTGGTCCTGTTGCTGGTAGGCGCTTGCGGTGTTGTAGAGATGGCTGGTGTACTGGAAGGCCTGTTGATCAGGCCCAATGCCGTAGGAGTAGGTGGGATACTGGTAGGCGTTGTTCTGATGGCCATGAAAGTTACCATAAGCCGTTTGATGGAACGAAGGTAGAACGTTCTCCTTGTTATCATACTGGAACGGGTCGTTGAAGGGTTTGTAAGAGTTGAATGCAGGTGCAGGAGATGGAGATGCTTGGTGAGTGAAGCCAGATGTAAGATAGTTCATGCCATTGGGCTGCGAGAATGGAACGTCATCCTCGTCTTGGTAAACGTCAAACTGCTTCCGCTTCGTAGCACGGTTGTTGCGGCTATGGTCGTAGCCAGGACGGCCGCGATCATCATCGTATTGGTTGCGGCTGAGGACAGGAAATACGGGCCGCTTAGACTGTCTAGTAGAGCGGCGAGTAGTGTTTGCATCAAGACTGGCGAGTGCGGGTCGCCGACGCACGGGCTGGGGGCTCTCAGTCTTGATCTCGACCTCGTCCTCTTCGTCAGACTCCGAGCACGAGATCCTGCGCTGGCGTTTGAAAGATCCCAACGGTGTGAAGATGAGCTCAGTTGCTTCGACTACTTGGGAGTTGAGCTCCAGCTGTTCGACGACAGAGCTGTCCTTCTTTTGGTTCCTCTTACGCCGCATCTCTGGGGTAGCAGAGTCGAAGATGTCCATGCCAGGCCAGTAGACGCCTTTGAGTTTGGTCGACTCGCTGACAGCCATCGGATCTGCAACCTCAGCAGGTTCATCTTCAATGGCACACGAAGCCGCAGCGTTGTACCGGTATGACCTCCGACGCTGCTCGTTCGGATCGGAGTATTCACTGGAAGTATCATAGTCTGGGTTGGTATAGCTGCGAGAGCTGGCGCGAGACTCTGTAGGCCAGTACTGCATATGAGGTGCGAGGGTATTGCGATTGCGGAGGACCGGGCCGAGGGGTTGCGGCGTCGGAGAAGGCGACTGCTCTAGCTTGATCATCGTGTGCTGCTGCTCCGACAGGCGTGGATCGAGGAGAGCGCTTGCGGCGGCGCGACGTACAGGACGTGGCGCGGGGGCCTCGATCTTGAGCGGAGGCGCCGGCCGGGCTGCTTCAGGTGTAGTCAGTATCAGTCTCAAGTACAATCGGATGCATGAGGTAGCTGTACCAGCGGGTCTCGCGCGGGTACGGCGTTTGTCCTTCTGATTCATCCGGTCCGACATGAGCTCTTCGACAGCCCATTCGGCATACCACTGGTCGTACGTCTCAATGAGCCGGCGGGATGCATCCTCGTTGGTGGAGCGGACCTTGACCTTGTAGTAGTTGGATAAGTGGCCTTTGCTGGCGATGTGGGTGAGTAGATGCGAGACATCGCTGAAGTTTGGCTTCTTGGGGCAAATGTTGCAGTGAAGCGGAATGTTGGCCATGCCGAACGCCTGACGAGGCTGCACTATATCAAGGTGAAAGCTGCAGTGCGGATGCGGTGTTTGTAAGGAGCGTAAGTGAAACAAGCACAAGAGCAGCGCAGTAGTGAAAGCAAAGAGCGTTGCGAAAGGAGCGGACTGAAGGTGGAGAAGGCGAAGTGACGGTGGGAGAGGTGCTCATGAGAGACCTAGTACAGAGATGGCTGCCGGTCACCGCGGTAGCTCCTAGCCCATTTCCTGAGCAAATAATTGGAAAGCAGGAGAGGCGCCAGCACTTGTAAGGAGAAGAGAGGAAGGTGCAGTATCGCAGTGGAGGAATTGCAGCAAGAAGAGGTCTGTTGGTGGTGTTCTAGCAGGCAGAGCACGTGGGGGCTCGGCACTGACAAAAGAGGAAGCCACCCTCACTTTCCTCCCGCTTTGTGTCTCGACGCCTATGAGAGAGACGCGAGTTATTAGATAGCGGGAAGACAGGCTTTGAACGGATACACGGATATGATTGCAAGTGAATAGTCATGAAATCTACAAGCACGATGCGACACAACTAGCGTTTGTTGATGGCATTCTCGTTTACTTACCTAAGCATCTACGGGTGACTGAGCGAGGCATGCAGCTGCGCGTTGGTTAGTATACGCGTCGAAATGCGAGAGCAGTGGTCACATACTACACGGGGTCTACCTCTTCCAGGCCGGGATACTTCAGCAGACTGAGACCGGCAATTCCAAAGACGGTGTGGAAGACGTCGACCATGTCGCCAGGCCGGTCTGCGAGACCACCCAGATCCGGGTCCTATCGTTCATGGTCAGATGGCGATGATGCTGAAGAGAAGACACTACC